GAGTTGTCGTTCGTTCATCTCTCAGACACCTCTGCAATGGGCTCACGTCAAGATTTTTCGATCTGCAATTTCAATTCGATGTTTTCCCCCCGTCCGCTTCAAATTGTACCCGCCCTTTTCATTGTCTTTCACTGAATGTTTTGATTGCAACAGATTGAAATGACGTAAGCTGTATATTTCCAATTTTGCCTGTTAATGTTCCGCGGTCTTATTTTACCTTTTTCTATTTTTTTTTTCGAAAAAAAAAACAAATTCATTTTGTTAGTATATGACTATACTCGAACAAAAAGGGTGGATAAGGGAGGGGCTGTGAACAATTACAGCAGTACAACGTTAAAAGGGCTGGTACACAGATTTGTGGGAGGCTTCCCCATCCCTCACTTTTTTCGCAAAAAGAAACATAATATAGGCATTAAAAATTTGGGTTTATCCCCCCTTTTCAATTAGCCCCTCTCCTCCACTTTGAGTTTGCTTCCAATGCCTATGGAAATTGTCAAAGCAATTTTCACTACATGGGACACGTTTCATTGACATATACTTTTACAAAGTGAAGAGTTTTTTGTCTAATTTTGCCCCGTAGGCCAGTTATATTGTCTTATGTAAAATAAAATGTTAATCTCCCACCACGCAGTATTTGTAAAATTCGTTTAAAAAAATCAATGAGTTGAGAATGAGTTGAGTAAAATCTTAGCCTTCCTTACATACATGTATTTCACAGCTTTTTACTCTGACAGCAGAAAAAGCACTAACTTTTATAATTCCTACCCTTTCCAAACATTTCCCGTAAACTTCCTATTCCTTTAACTGATATGGGCGTCGAACCCCTTGGGTTAGAAAGAGAAAAATAAACTTATCTTACCTCAAAAAGTTTACTATTCAAAATCAATCTTTAACAGCACTTGCGGATTTAGAGGGTGCCCAGGCTCACCGTTTTTTTTTTTGCCCAAAATATTCACAAGATTTAACATGCAATGAAATCATTTGTGTGTGTCTCTGTGTGTGTTTCTGTGTGTGGCTTTGGACCCCTACCCGACACCCACATGTATTTAAGCATAAGTAAATAATACAAGGCCGTAACTAGGCTCAAATTCTTAATGAGGCAAAGGCACTGGACATTCTTATTTCAGACGGGGAAAGTGTAGTACTTGACGGCCAGTGATGGGGGATTCCAGGAGGAGGGCGATCCCAGAACCTGGGAATGAGAAAATAAAAGATTTAATCTTAAAGAGTTTTACGTTTTTGAATTGTCGCCCGCATGGCACAGTGGTTAGAGCGCATGCTCTAGATTCGCAGACTAAGGAGTTGATCCTTACATCGCGGGTTCGAATCCCCTGCGGGATGTAGAGACCGAACCTTCGGATAAGACCGTAAAAACTTTTTTATCATCTTCAGTAACCCTGAGAGCCCAGTTCATATTTAAAACTTGCAGCCGCTATCGGCAAAAAGTGGTGTCTCAATATGAATGAGAAATTCTTTGAAAGGATTTTAACAATCAAACAATTGACAAAACAAATATTTTGAATTATATTTTACATGCGTTTTAAATGAAAAAAAAAATATGACACCTGCTAAGTCGAACGATTTTAAAGAAATTAAAACAAAAGTTTAAAAATTTTATGCATGAAAACACATATAATTTCCAAAAAAAATGGAAACCTTTTTTTCACTTTTCAGAAATCTCTAAAAAAAAATTTATTGAGGAATTTGCCTAACTTGCCTCAATGGAAGTTACGGCCTTGTAATAACATTTTTATATGCTATCAGCTAAAATCAAGCATTTACAAATTGTCTTAAAAGATTCTTTATTTGCCAGCCCCGTACTTAATTACGGCTGTTTTCGGAATACACGGTATTGTGCCATAAATGACCGTCCAAATTCACTTGCACTGCGTATATTTTCTGTGTTTCAGTAAACTTTATCTGCATACTAAACATATAAATAATCTGTATAATGATTTTGGCTTAAATTCAGTAATATAGGAGGGGTGAATTGGTGACCTTTTTGCCATTAATGCAATTAAAACTGCATAAAGAGAGTGATTGCAAGTTCTTTATTTATAAACAATATAAATCCTTAAAATAGAAAAGAATAGACATGAAAGAAGATACTTGTAATGATTCTTTGTGATCTTTCTTCCAATGTCTTTAGTTTTTTTTATAGACATTAATGTGTCCGCTTATAACTTGTGATATTAATTTCTAAAATTTCTTTACTCTTAATACATTTGATTAATCAGACTTGTATTATAGTAATTAAAAAATAAAATGACATCGAGTTATAGAATGACTAATGTGCCAAAAAATTAAAGTTTTTACCATCAATTCCTATTAGTTAGTAATGCGATTACTTATGCAGTCCAGTCCAATACGAAAAATCGTAATATTACAGAATATCGTAATTTTATTCTTATATTACTATTTTTCGTAATATAGTTAAATTACGAAAACTCGTAATATAGCATGTTGTGAGAGACTATATTACGAGTTTTCGTAATGTAAGACAAAATTAGCATTGAAAGAAACTGAATGATGTTAAGGAAAGTATGACGTCAGAAATACATTATGCCCCAATAGTACTAGTATCACGTGGTCATTTTGGTCAGTGACGTCTATCGAAAGGTATGAAAATGCAAGAGGAAAGTAACAATAGTAATGGGTGAGTGAAAATTTTGTATTATTATTCTTATATAAGAATTTTCCCAGGGATGGGAACAATTTTCCATAAAACTTCAATGTATCCTAAAACTTGTCATAGTGTTCTATAATCCCCGAATTCCCTATATTTTTCCCGAAGTCTACCCTAAAAATCAGACCCTCATCTCTAACAACGAAATGTTACGGGATATAACTTGTACAACTTTCACTAGGCTCTGACTCTGCATGCACTTGGATCAAATGCATCAAAACAAAGAAAATGCATGCATATCCACGATTATTTGATGAAACCAGAGACGTATAATCTCTCATGAAACATAACAAGCAGGTTGTATCAGAAAAAAGGGAAGTAACTCTTAGAAGAGTTAGAAATTGCTTATATTACGAATTTTAGTAATATTACGATTTTTCGTATTGGACTGGACTGTTATGTGAATGTTTTGAATTTGATGTTGTTTTTCTGTAAATTCTTGGATCCACGCCTCGGCTGCAGAGGATCTTTACACACGCGCTCAGGCTGACCTAGTTAAATGATTTAGATCACTTAGGTAATAGCCAAGAAGACTATACATAAGAACATACATATTTTGAAGAACCGCCATCATCCAGCCGATTTCTCTTTCACAAGCATACATCTCTTTATTTAGAAAATCGCATCATCGCGTTGATCGTTGAATGGCTTTGCACTTGAAGGAGTTAGCCGAGGATTGCCGATTGTAAAATGGCAGTTTACACTGGGACTTCACATCCGGAAATCAAACTTAATGTGTCATCTCTCGTGAGAGATGACAAAAACGTGGGCAAGTACAGATTTTGCGAACATATGTAAAGAAATTTGGCATCCAAAAAAATAAAAGAAAAATTATAAATAGGCCTTGTTTTAATTTCCTACTCGCTCCCGGTGTGTTATAATTATTCTTTTTTAAAGCATAGGCCTATGCGTTATTAATGTTTAAGTATATTTTTCACGTAAAACTATTTTTTCCTAAAACAAACACCATTTAAATGATTTTTTTCCTTTAAATTCATAATGTATTCTTAATTAAAAATTTCCAGTCATCATCTGTTGTATGTGATTTTTTTAAAACACGTAAAATCCATAGTTGATAAATAAAATTCATGATATTTGAAATGTTATTTTTTTTTAATAATTAGGACTCTTTGACAATGGTTTGAACATCTTTCATTATTCAGTCTTACTGCATATGAGATGAACTGCATTTTTTTTTATTTTCTATTGTAATTTTATAAATATTTCTTTTGTAAACGTTTAATAACATATTTCGTTTTTGTAATTTATTCTGAAATATGAATCAAGTTTTGCTGGAATCTGATTTGCTGTAGGATACAGGATAGGATAGAATAAGATTGGATTGGATAAACTTCTCCATGTTTCTATCGTGAATCCTCAATCCTGAATCCTATCCGATTCCATCCCATTTCCACTTGTGGGATAGCAGCATTGTACTTTAGGCGGGTAGACAATAATTTTAAAATGTTGAAGGATTTGGGGTGATTATCCAGCTTTCCGATGATCATGAGAGAAATGAAAAAAAGGTAAATAAACTTTTCCTATCATATACCTATGCATCAATGTAGCTCATTTTCATGTCTGTTTAAATGTTTTTTTTATGTTGTTAAGGGGTCAACTAAAGATAAATGTTTACTATACATGGCAATGTTTTTTCATGTTTTGAATTTTTAATTAGTCTGATTGGAGACTATATGGAGAATTGTTCAAACTTGAATCCAGAAAATAGTAATAGTCAGTGTAGATTGTTCGAAAGCAACACCCCTTCACAAGTATCGTCATTTCGTGCTTAGTGTTGTGTACAGACTTTAGCAAATTGAATACACCCGTGAAACGTACACAGTTTTTGTAAACAGGACACGAGCTCTGCTATTGTTAAGGTTTACAATTCACCGGGTGTGTTCGAATGTTAAAGTCTGCTCACCAGAAGTGCACGAACAGACAAAACAATGTGTGAATGATTTGCTTTCGAACATTCTACTCTGAATTTTTGGGATTAAAGTTTTAATATTTTCCATAATACACAAAACGTTTGCAATTTTTCCTAATTACATGTATTAAGAATATAATTTAAATTTGTAAAAACGCAAGGATGTTCAATCAAACCCATCCATGAATTTGAAATTTATATAACTTTTATTTTCGTATAAAATGCTATTGAAATAGATAGGTCATTATATTATACAGAAAACAACCACTTCAAATCTGTGTATATGCATCGTTAAAAGAAAAAAAAACGGAAGTACATCTAGTAGATGTAGTATGTCATTGTGTATATTTCCAGTGTAGACCCTATTTATAGAGCAGGGGTTATCCTTTCCAAACGGAAGGAAACGAGCATCATGGATTTTTTTTTTATGAGAATTTCGTAACAAAGAGAAGGTGAGATACTGTTTTTTTTATATATAAGAAAAGATTTGATGATGCATATGCAATACAACTATCATTGGATTCCATAGAAAGAATCAATGAAATGTAAATATCCTAAATGTACTGCAAGTTAAATGTTTCTGATGTCAGATGATGGATTATATTTCCGTGTTTTACATGTAGAAATATGTCAACAACAGCTAGGCCTTGCTCCATTTTGGTCTTCTTTATGTGTTTGTGTGTGTCAAAAGGTATCTTTATTTTAGTAGCACTAGCACGAAATCTCGTACATATGTATTTAAGCTTCATAGACGTCGGAACTAAGGGGCGGGTTGGGAGGATTCAACATTTGGATCAATCTGCTTCTGAGACTTCTTTCTAATTGGCAACAATAAAACAGAATTGTGAAAATACTTCTCTTGTCATTTATTGTAGGCCTAAACCTAAGAGCGCGTGTAAAATATCCAAACTCAAGTGACCTTAACAGGCATATTTGTGAATGTGACAGGCTTATTGTCTTGCTTAAATTCCTTTGGACTTCATGATATCACAACGTTGTGAATATTAAAATTATGACCACGCGTGTTTTATAGCAGCATATACTAAACTACATTGAATTCTAACGATTGTGTTACTGGATGTGCTAATAATAATCTTTTTTGAACCATTTAATTGTATCTAAAAGGGATCATTTCTTAAATCAATATTAATTTTGATGGAGAAAAATTATTATGACTTTATCTTTGTTTCGCCTTGTGAAACAGTGACATAAATAAACAAGTTAGAAAGTCATATGAATTCATTTTATTTAAAAACCTAAAACCTTTTAAACTAATAATTCATATTGCATTATTATTATTTTTACAATGATAGTAAGTGAAAACTGTGGAAGGATTTAGAAAATGTCAACCATATAACGTTAATTCTGGAGACCATTTTGTGAAATGGGTACTGTGGCTGCAAGAACTTATTTTGCGATTGCTAAATATCCAGATTTCTCAATTGTGCATATCAGTTTATACATATAATTGTGATCAAAAAGATGCTTATACCACAAAATGTACAAAAGGTTTCCTAGCTATGTTGTAGTACTAATCTCATTTTGATTTTTTATTAGGGTACAATTCAGTAAAATCACTTGCAATTTTTTTTTTGGGGGGGGGGGCAAAGGGTAATAATATTATGGTCAGGGCTAGTAATTATGCGAAGTAGTCTGACTGGTTTGGTACTTATAAAATTTAATGTCAAAGCCTGCGGCTTTTTCTTACTTCAATATTGATTTACCTCTGTGCTGTCTGTCGTGCGTAACATGAAACAGTCCACAGAAACAGTGGACAAATTTCAACCAAATTTATTTAAAAACACACCCATTGGTTAAGTCATGATCAAAATTTGTCCCAATGAAGAGGCGTGGTTCAGATAAAATTATGTTTTTACAGCTTCAATTCAAATTCCATGCATTCAATTTAATTCTAAAACATTAAAGCATTATTCACATGATCTGTGTTGCATATAGGCATTTCATTTGGCATTATCCTTTCAGACTGTTCAGATCTAAAATATTAGATTCTACTTGCGGGGTATTTTGATCAAAATGGAGTGATGGACGTCTCATGATGGATGCACGCGGTCCTGATCCTCCTGTACGACTTACCCCCCTTACACCAGAAGCAGACAGTAGAGCTACTGCAGCAGGAAGTCAGCAAGGTATGATCATAGGTCTCTGTTTTAGATACTCCTATATATCTATGGTATATCTTATGGCATTATACTTTCCCAGCAATCTATCTATCATATATATTTTAGAACATGATTGTTCATTCAACACATCCAGCTAACTATCTGTCTTTCTGTTATCTTTAAAGCAATATGAGCTGAAAGTTTGACATGGGAAATTTTTGTTGCAGATTTGTAATTAACTATTTCGATGATAGAAATTGAAAATTTATATACTTCTGTTTTTCATATTTGAGATGGAAGAAGTTTTTATAAGCTTTAATTGAAGCAAAATTACATTATTGTCTTACTGTACAATATTGAGTTCTTATATAGTGCGGTACGTTCGACTGTACAGAAATTTTCTTCTGAAACAATTTAAAACTTTATTTTGGCTTTTATGATCAATAGAATTTAAATTACACACAAGTTAATCATAATAACACATTTCAACAGCAAAATAAATTTCTAAAAAATGCAGCTCATATTGCTTTTAAACCATGTTTGGATGAAAGAAATTCAAATTTGTGTCATTGTAAAACTACAACAAGGCTCCTGATTCCACCTCTGATGCTAAGGAGGATATTGTTTGCTCTGCACCTATTTTGTTTTAGTTTATGGACTTTGATATGAAATTCTGTTCGTTATCTCCATATTCCTCTTCAAATGAAGATTATTTATATGAATTGGTGTAACTATTGTATTTTCAATCTTCAAAAGAACCACTGGACCAGACAAAGCGATTCTTGCACGAAACCTTTTTTATTAAAATAAATAGGAAAAAAAATTAAGGAAAAGCAAATGTCGAAGTTTGAAGTGAGAATCTGTTTTAGCTGGTTCAAGGTTTTAATGCATTTTTGGAATCATATACTAGACGTTGTTACAGTTTTCTGAAAAAAATCACATCTCTCCGAATGATCTATTGTTTGTGGTTTGAAATAAATAAATCAGTGAATGAGGATTTGATTTCAAGATTGAAGAATAGTTCAGCAGTAACTAAAAAAAGGAAAATTGCATTTCGTGCTAGACATGAATTTTTGGGTTTCGACATACCTTGAAAACCACGAAAATTAACCGACACAAAACGTAGTGATTTTACAGTATGTGTTTTAAGCAATACCTTTTAATACTTGCATCGTTAAGTAGCTTGAGTATCATTTATAACAGGGCGATGCAAGGATTGCACTGTAGCGTGATCATTGCTGTATTTTCTAGAAGATATGAGAGAGCACGTGTATCATCTTTGGAATTAATATGATACCCTGTAATTTCAAATCTCTCATAAGAATTTATTAATACATGCATAAAATATATTCATTTATATGTTATAGCCTGACAAGGAATGTATTTTGCAGTATTCAGATTAAGATTCTTCACAATTACTGTACACTATAAGTTATACACATGTATAAATATTTACATACGGTGACTTTTTTATTTCTCAGTCAACAAATGGCAATATGCACATCACATGTAGATATTTTTTGAGTGGTGGCTTTTCCCCTATGAAAAGTTCAATAGTTTACATGTTTTTCTGGAAAGTAAAGTTTGGTTTCAAAGCAAATTTAAGGATGGATGTACATGTAACAATGATTCATTGCTTAGAGACTCTGTATAAAGGAACAATTATGTAGTCATTGTTCTATTTATTCATATGACATGGTACATGTAGAAAAGTGTTACATAAAAACGATTTTCCTTTGATTGGTTTAATTGTTGTTGATATATTTTAGGACCAGCAGTATCTTATTCTCATGTTTGTCAACCTCATTGGGGCATCCCTACAGCAAACTTTATCCAGAAGGAAGGGCAGACAACTGCACTTCCAACTTCACAGCAACAATGGCATCAACAACATTACTCAATTAATGAACAGAATGGTCCATTGGCAACAAACCAAAACACAGTTTATATGCCATTTCAGCAGCAAAGCTTAAATCACCTGATGACAAACACGTCAGGTCTAAATATTTGCATTAGTAAATTGAGATTCACATGTAATTACGATTTTTAAGTCAAACAAATAGTTTTTTTTATCTCCAGGTCAGAAAATGAGGAAGATAATATTTATATAAAAGAATTCTCAGGAGAGGGGGGCCACTGCATTTGTCAATTTTGTAAATATTATGTAAATAAAATATTTTTGAAAATTTGAAATATTTTACATGTAGGACCAGGATCGATGATTGATCAGAACTATGGTGTTCAGGATCTTTTGGGCTTCCACAGCAGAAACAAGGTCCAGAGACTAGAGCAGACAACTGGACAACCATCTTCACATCATCAGCCACACCAGCATCAACAATGGCTTCTGCATCAACAAAAATTAACAAATGAACATATGGCTCCGCGTGGAAATGAAGCTTATATGTCTAATCAGCGGCCATACCCAAAACAGGAGTTGAGAACATCTTCAAGTATGATTTTCTCTGTAGCAATATTATAGGAAGATTCTGGAGTGCTTAGGTTATCCTTCTAACATTGTTTCCTTTTTGAAACATGTAAGCCTATGAGGACACTTTTGTTGGTTTAAAAGTTTATCAATCCACTTTTCAATTTTACTGTGATCGTATAGATTTATAAAGCGTTTTCGAAATTTGTAATTTGATCTGTATAAACCAATACACTGTTGATATAAATGTTCAAAGGATCTGTCCAAAATAAAAAGAGCTGAAGACCAAACTCCCAATAAATAAGTACTCAAAAATCCAAAAGAATTATTTCCAAAAAGAAAAGGCGAAGAGAGAATTGATAATTTGAGAGTAAGACCTGGAATAAAAACAGGAATGCTCTTTTCTGACCAAAACGATATTTTGTGCTCAGTGGGTATCCATGGTTCCGGATATAAAAATTCATTTCATTGACTACATTTAACCAACCATCACTAACTACCTACACTTTGTTCGTAGGTCTGTCCGTTGACCTATGAACCCCAACATGGTACCACGTGCACCCTTTATGCAGGTTAATACTCATTACTAATATTTATAGGCTCAGTCCCCATTTCTGCACTACAGGAGTTCTAGGCCTAAGCTCTTTTACTTAATTATTTCAAAGTTTCCATTATATTGCTCTTACTGAAAGCTCTTAGTAATACCATTGTATTTCCGTTCAAATTTTATTACCTATTATCTATGGGCTTGATTGGTCTATCCAGATCAATTTTAATACAAAATGATTTACCAAATTAAACCATTAATATGGAAAATTTTACGTCGATCTTATTTAGTGAATTCGGGTCAAAATGCTGTTGATTAATTATTACGTGTCAAAATTTTGCAAATGACCACTGCTTTGTTTACATTTTCTTATTGGTGATTTATTTTTAAGAAAAATATTTTTGCGATTGCAATAAACTCGCAAATTTGCTAAAAAGTTATCTACAGCAAAATTTCCAGATTAACGGCAGTTCATTGAAACAATAACAAAATCCAATTTGTTTTAACAAAATAAGAATAGTTACAAAATTAAAGTCTTTTCTTATTATAAAGTCACCGAATTTCAGTCACTAATAGTATACATTCTGATTTAATAAACCCTTATATCATTTCAGTTTTAATACTAATAACTAATATTGATTATGATATTAATTTTGTCTTAGTTTAAAATGTAAAAACAGTATGTCTGCGCTAAACCTTATAGGTTTACAAACGTTTTCTTTAACATTTGGTCAATATGTATTCGAAGAAAGGGAAGTAGCTTCTTAAATTAAGCATATACATTATGAAAATAATGACACATGACAGTTTTTATCACCAACATATTTATCTTCATTTTTATTTATCCGTCCCTGTCCTTCAATTAAAGTCCCCACCCTAGGCCTGAATAATTTTTTTGATAAATAACTGATGAAATATATAGTGATAACAAACAGTATTCAGAATCAAAAGTCCATTAAACAATACCATAATGAAGCAGAGTAAGTATGGATCTCCAAAAAATCAGAGATAAGTTCAGGTGCCAAGGAGGAGAAGACATTCCCTGCACAATAGCATTATGTTCCTTGTCATAATCAGAGAAAACGGGAAAAAATGTTGAATATTCAGTATGTAAAGACTCCCTTTGAATCATATTTACAAGTACGGGTGTTATTGTTCTACAAATTCTTTGACTACAAAAATTTTGCTATTGCTATCCGTTTTCGTCCGTCGTCGTGCGTCGTGCGTTGTGCGTTAACATTTGAACATTTTCAGCTTCTTCTCTGCAACCACTGAACCAATTTCAACCAAATTTGGCATAAAGCATCTATGGGTGAAGGGGAACAAAAATTATGAATTTCATGATCCCTGCCTCCCTGGGGCCTGAGGGGTGGGGCAAAAACTGTCACGACAGCCGTCGTGCTCTGTCCAGTCAGATATAACAAGATTTTTTTTTCTATTTACAATTTTTTATCTATAAATAAAATCAATAAAAACCAATATTCACAATATATTTACACAGCTCTTATTTACAATAAATAGAACTTAAAGTCTCTTATAATCCTCAATATCGTTGGCTCCGAACCACGTCTACACCGACACGCCCCGTTTCACGACGGACTCCCGCCAACTGGCTCCCAGTGGGTATCCCGGTCTGATTAAGGTGGTCACCAACACACACACACGGCTAGATTATTGGATTACATCAGGAACCTTTGAATTAAATAACATTTTTAAGTCACAAGCTACGTATACAAAAGAAAAACTCAAGTCACCATTGACTACAATTGCACTAATGGCACACCATACAATCAGTCCCGGTAATTTTAACCGAACACTATTATAACAAGAAAAACGTTAAGAATACACAACATCTTAACAAAAGTGGTTTTAACTATTAAACCCACAACACCGACTTTATAAGCGGCAAAACAAAATAGCCTACGTGCGTATATAACTCAGTACATTGCACAAAAATAGAACAATAAACGCATGAGTAACTCTACCCAGCAAAACCTGTATACGTAAATAGTAACAAAAACATTAATTAACTCAAGTTCTTAAATAGTTCTACGTTTTAAATGTATTACTCAAAAACTTACATATGAAATAAAAAACAAACTTACCCCTTTGGAGAAATGGTTACCGTTGAAAGAAAAAATTTAGCCACTCATCTTGGACTGTATGTCAACCATTTAAAAGCTATGAAAACGTGGACCCTGGTTACCTGGTCAGCTATGCAGCGATTTAAATACCCCAAAATACAATAGGTCGTAACTGACCAATACCTGCAAAACTTAACTGAGGTTCAATAAGGTAACAAAAGTATAGAGGTCCAGTAAAGGGTAAATAAAATAAAAACCATAAACATAATGTAAATGCAATTAAAATTAAATATTGATTGTGACAAAAACCACTAAAATTAATGCAATCTTTAAAAATCTTCTTCTTTACTCCTGGACATCAAGCAGTCAAACTGTTTGCATGATTGTAATCAGCAATGAGTCCTCTACCAAAATTGTGAAATTCATGCCCCAGGGGTCAGGGGTTCTAGTGCTAGGGCGGGGCTAAATAAGTAGGTAGTGAAAATGCATTATTTCTTTGAAAATCATCTTCTCTGCTCCTGGGTTTTAAATAAATAAACTAAGTACAAAGTTATGATGAGCAAGAGTGTCTCTACCAAAATTGTGAATTTTATGGCCCCAGGGTCAGGGGTTCTGGTTTTAGGGCGGGGCTCTATAGATCATTTAGTGAAAATACATGAATTCTCTGAAAATCTTCTTCTCTGCTCCTGGGTATTTAATAACTAACTAAGTACATAGTTATGATGAGCAGGAATGCCTCTTCCATAATTGTTTTTTTTTTGCCCCAGGGTCAGGGGTTCTGGTGTTAGGGGGGGGCTCTATAGATTATATAGTGAAAATACATGAATTCTCTGAAAATCTTCTTCTCTGCTCCTGGGTATTTAATAAACTAACTAAGTGCATAGTTATGATGAGCAAGAGTGCCTCTTCCATAATTGTGTATTTTTTGGCCCCAGGGTCGGGGTTCTGGTGTTAGGGCGGGGCTCTATTGATTATATAGTGAAAATACATGAATTCTTTGAAAATCTTCAATTCTGCTCCTGGGTATTAAATAAACTTACTAAGTGCATAGTTATGATGAGCAAGAGTGCCTCTACCATGATAATGAATTTTATGGCCCCAGGGTCAGGGGTTAGGGTGGGACTGTATTGATTATATAGTGAAAATACATGAATTCTTTGAAAATCTTCTCCTTTGCTCCTAGGAAATAAATAAACTAACTAAGTACATAGTTATGATGAGCAAGAATGCCTCTTCCATAATTGTGAATTTTATAGCCACAGGGTCAGGGGTTCTGGTGTTATGGTGGGGCTCTATTGATTATATAGTGAAAATACATTAAATCTTTAAAAATTTTCTTCTCTGCTCCAGGGTATTAAGTAGATGAACTACAAATATAATTATGATGAATATCGTCGCTGTAATATCAAAATGTCGTAAGTCGATTTTTGGCGCGAAATTTTTATTGCTAATTTGGAATCTGCAATATCGAATACATGTTCTGTCAAAACGTCATGTCTCTAGGCCAATTAGAAAGTGAGATACAGACGTGTGATAAAAGCGCGTATGTCCATTGGATGCATTTTTTTTCCTGACAAAAGGTCGTATGTCTCTGGGCACTGACAAGGATGTCACTGGCCGTCTGATATCAAGGTAAAAATTATAATTTTAGTTAAATCTTTTATAATTTTTACTAAAAAATGTGTTCAACATACACAACAAAGTATATTTATTTAATAAACAGAGAAATCAATGGAAAGATTGATGAAAAGTTAGATGTAAGTTACTTCATGACAAACTTAATTCAGTTTTTCGAAGTTTGTAACTGCAATAAATTTATGAGTATGTTAATTCATATAAAACATTTCAGAGCGTTCTAATATCAGATTCGTACGCTTTACAATACATTGCAGGGGTTTGTTTCAATGCTTTTCTGGAGATACGACAATTTGTACAGAAAAAACATCCAGGACAGAAAGGAAAACACTAGACATACGACATTTTGAAAAAAGATGTTTTTTGTCTCTCCTGAAAAGTTGGGATTTTTGACTTACGACAATTTGATATTACAGCGACGATATAGCTATGATAGACAAGGGCCCATATTCTACAGAATTGTGAATTTCAAGGCCCCAGGGTCAGGGGTACCATAGAGGGGGGGGGGCTGTACTTATATGCTGAAAATGAATGAATGGTTTGAAATCTGCTTCTTGGTATTAATCAAATATCAAGGCCAAAGGGTCAGGGGTTCATGTATGGTAAGGGCACTACTGATTATTGCTGAATATTACTGATTAGTTGAAATGCATTTTTTTCCCTTACCCTGCGTATGGTTATTAAGTAAACAAACTAAGCAATAAGTGTATTGTTATGATGATCAATGGTGCCTCTTTCAAAATTGTGAATGCCATAACATCTGGCTTAAAACATGAATCAAGTTTAATCACTGGAAAGTTGTTGCATAATGCTCAGGTGACCTATAAGGCCCATGGGCCTCTTGTTTTTCTGATAGTGATATTGAAAGTGGAACAGGGGTCAAGGGTATCTTTTTATTTGATCTTTTTACTTATGATATACTTATTTTTACTACGTGTTGATTTACTTTAGGACCAGCAATATTTAATCTTCAAAATAACGATACTCAGGCTCCTTCGGGCCCATGTCCATTCATCCAGCAGCAAGGGAATACAACGCTACAACCAGCTCTACAGCAACAACAACCACATCAGCAACGTCAGTATCAGTACTTTATGAAAGGACAAAATGATCGATTGACACCACATAGATATACACAACATCAGAATGATGCTGCTATGCCTTTACAACGGCCTAAATTTGACCAGTTTATGACAACTCTTTCAAGTATGATTATTTTCATCGTTACTGATTTGAATGGGTTTTTATTAAGGTAGTCTGATCCTTGGGTTTATAAAATTAGCAGTTAAGAAATCGAAAACATTCACTCAAGTATATCGGAACTCAAAAAGTTAATATGTAAATTTAAAGTTAATCATATTTTTAAAAATAGGGAAAATTGTCAAATCTCTGATATTTTTGCAGAAAAGGCGAATTGGGATATCAGCAATGTATTTTCAAATTGCAAATTGATCAACAAATATATTTTAGTTTAAAAAACGATGGGTATCCGGGTATTCAAGGAAATTCTCATGATTTTTAGCTCACCTGAGCCGAAGGCTCAAGTGAGCTTTTCTGATCAAAATTTGTCCGTTGTCTGTCGTCGTTGTCGTTGTTGTCGTTGTTGTCGTCGTAAACTTTTCACATTTTCATCTTCTTCTCAAGAACCACTGGGCCAATTTCAACCAAACTTGGTACAAAGTATCCTTGGGTAAAGGGGATTCAAGTTTGTTTAAATGAAGGGCCAGGCACTTTTCCAAGGGGAGATAATTATGAATTAGAGAAAAATTAATGGCATTTATAAAAAATCTTCTTCTTAAGAACCACTGGGCCAGGAAAGATGAAACTCATGTGGAATCATCCTCAGGTAGTGTAGATTCAAGTTTGTTCAAATCATTACCCCCGGGGGTAGAGTGGGGCCAAAATGGCCGATCAAAGTTTTACAGAGGAATATATAGGAAAAATCTTTAAAAATCTTCTTCTCGAGAACCACTGGGCCAGGAAAGATGAAACTCATGTGGAATCATCCTCAGGTAGTGTAGATTCAAGTTTGTTCAAATCATGACCCCCGGAGGTAAGTTGGGGCCAAAATGGCCGATCAAAGTTTTACATAGGAATATATAGGGAAAATCTTTAAAAATCTTCTTCTCAAGAACCTTTGGTTCAGGAAAGATGAAACTCAAATGGAATCATCCTCAGGTAGTATAGATTCAAGTTTGTTCAAATCATGACCCCCGGGGGTAGGGTGGGGCCAAAATGGCCGATCAGAGTTTTACATAGGAATATATAGGAAAAATCTTTAAAAATCTTCTTCTGAAGTACCACTGAGCCAGGAAAGATTAAAGTCGTGTGGGATCATCCTCAGGTAGTGTAGATTCAAGTTTGTTCAAATCCTGACCCCCGGGGGTAGGGTGGGGCCAAAATGGCCGATCAAAGTTTTACATAGGAATATATAGGAAAAATCTTTAAAAATCTTCTTCTCAAGCACCACTGGGCCAGGAAAGATGAAACTCATTCGGGATCATCCTCAGGTAGTGTAGATTCAAGTTTGTTCAAATCCTGACCCCCGGAGGTGGTGTGGGGCCAAAATGGCCGATCAAAGTTTTACATAGGAATATATATAGAAAAAATCTTTAAAAAAATCTTCTTCTCAAGAACCACTGGGCCAGGAAAGATGAAACTCGTGTGGAATCATCCCCAGGTAGTGTAGATTCAAGTTTGTTCAAATTATGACCCCCGGGGGAAGGGTGGGGCCAAAATGGCTGATCAAAGTTTTACATAGGAATATATAAGAAAAATCTTTTAAAATCTTCTTCTCAAGTACCACTGGGCCAGGAAAGATGAAACTCATTCGGGATCATCCTCAGGTAGAATAGATTCAAGTTTCTTCAAATCATGACCCCCGGAGGTAGGGTGGGGCCAAAATGGCCGATCAAAGTTTTACATAGGAATATATAGGGAAAATCTTTAAAAATCTTCTTCTCAAGAACCTTTAGGTCAGGAAAGATGAAACTCAAATGGAATCATCCTCAGGTAGTATAGATTCAAGTTCGTTCAAATCATGACCCCCGGGGGTAGGATGGGGCCAAAATGTCGGATCAAAGTTTTACATAGGAACATATAGGGAAACCTTTTAAAATCTTCTTTTCAAGTACTTCAAAGCTAGGCTTCGTTATTTTTATAGGGAATCATCCTCAGGTAGTGTAGATTCAAGTTTGTTCAAATCATGACCCCTGGGGGGTGTGTGTAAAATTCAAGCGCCCCCCCCCCCCAAAGTTTACTTTCAGTTCTGATCTGATCTGTGTTTTTTCCTAGCCAATTGCTCAGGTGAGCGATGTGGCCCCTGGGCCTCTTGTTATACTTATTTGGGATTTTTTGTGTTCTTTTTCCGTTATGTATTATATAATACATAGTGTAAAAGGCTTTTGCTATCATTGCAAGACACCACAAACCACTTCTCATTTCATATCATGCAAATAAGCATTGGCATCTTAGGCTGGATTCAAGAAAATCTTATTTCTCTGAAACTGTACTTTTTATGCTCCCGTAAACGAAGTTTCGAGGGTATATAGTTTTTGTCGTGTCCGTCCGTCTGTCTAGCTGTCTAGTTTTTCGTTTGTCCACAAAAAAGTTAACTTGCCCATAACTTTCGATTAGTGGAGCCATGAATTTCATATTTCACATGTGTATTCCTTGTGACAAGACTTTTTTTTTGGATACCACCAAAGAGCTAAATCCAGGAATGTGCTTAATCGGCCTAATGATTTTAGGAAAATTAAAGTGAGGGGGATAAGAAAATAATTTACGGAAAAATTATCCTTAGGTATCAAAGTTGAATAGTTTACGCCAAAATTTCATTTGATGACGTCATATTTGTGTACAAAACATCTAAACACGTGCACTTTGCTACTTTTTATCAAAATTTAGCATTTTTTCGTCTTTGATTCAAATTTTTGCTGTGTCCACACCCTTTGAACAAAATAAAATTTACACCATTAAAAAGAAAATTAAAAATTGAACTAATAGAGTATTATTTTATTTTGTTCGAGGGGTGTGGCCACATCGAAATATTTAATTTTCGTTCGATTCAAATTTCTTCGAACCGACCACCAAAGTGGAAATAATGGGGGTTTACCCATATTGATTAAAAAGAAACAAGATTCTTTGTTGCTTTTGTAAATTTTAATTAGTTTTTAAATGCAAATATACCATTTATTATAAGTTATTTTGTGTTGTGCAAAAAAATTACGTAAGTCTCTCGGAGTCTCTGTAAGAATGACTGCATGAAGATGCAAGAATGGTGACTCATTCCTAACCCAAGACTTTTTATTCGAGTGCAGCTGATCTAGGTTTACATTATCATTGATTATGCTGAAATATTTTTTTTTTAAAATGGATACTCTTTCCCCCAAAATCTTATTTATTTTACAAACAATGTATTCATGTTTTATCTCCCGATCCCGTCTCCTCGTCTCCATCGTCACTATGTAATCAAAGGGAGATCACCCGAGAAACTTATTTGTCAACAAGTCTGAATTAATCCTAAAATATAATTTTAACATAAACAGTTATATCGGAAGCAACTACCAGGATGTATATATAAACTGAAAATTATTGTTTTACCCCTTTACAAAACACAAATTGTGTATGTCGTGAAGTCTGCATCGACTGGCGTCATAAATGATAAAAATGATTTACGTTTACTTGAGCCAAGATACAAGCGCACAAAGCCACAGGCCACATCCAAAACCAACATGCATTTCAGAAACTGCTGTTGGCATTTCAAGAAGACAGCTTAATTTAAAAAAGTTTATTATTAAAAATATTTTCCGATCCGAGAGTTTATAACATATGTAGGCCTAACGAAGTATTGAAGTTAGAAAATTCGAGTTGAAAATTTAAACAGATCTATTGAAATAAACAATCTGCAAAAACTTACTACATGTACCGAGATAGTGACAGCTCTTTATGGTTGCAGGTAATTCCAGTCTCGCCTTCATGCCACATGAAAAAAGTCAAAAAGAGGCTACTTGTTTATCTCTTTTTATTTTGAGTTGCTCCTCTCAAATGTAACCTGTTCAACTTCAGGTCTAAGGGAAAGAGGATAGCCAAAATTAGCAAGCCAGTTTATAGTAGAGTACATTCTCATGGGAGATAGAGCCTGGACATAAAATGAGAGGCTTAGAGAGTGAGGTCTTCTAACGAAAAAAAATAGCCTGAGGGTAATGTGTGGGGGTGGGGGGTCGGAACCCCACAATATGAAGTATGACAAATTATTACTGATGTGTGACAAATAACAACGCAGATAACTTAAGTACTCTTTTATAAGAATATGGCAATAAAGATACTACAGGGATACAGTTACATGTATATTTAAAAAGAAATTAATTGAATTGCACTTTCATTTATTTTTTTAAATTTGTATGATAAAAAATTAAGAACATTACTGATGTTTCGTGACTTGGTCATTGAATTAATTCATTATACCGGTGTGTCCCAAATGTACATGTATCATAAACGGATTGAACTGGAAATTTTACCTGTCTGTCATTTTTTTTTCTTGAAAAAAAACGTACAGAATATAACATCATAGATAGGGTGTGTCTCTGATTCATTCAACATGGTATCTAGGGGGTATAGTATATTTTTTCTACTCTTTGCATTTATCATGTGTTTATCCCGTCCGTCCTCACGATGTGCAACATAGTCAGCAGAAACTATAATGTACACGACCCAAGTTTATTATCGTCAGAATGTGCATTTGATAATTGAGGCGTTATTTGATCAGATATTCATTAATTTAAGATTTCATCAAAGTTGTTGCATAAACTGCTCCCAAAGAACAAAACTTATTAACACGCATTCTCTGTAAGCACCTACAAATTAACTATAGGGCTTGGAAACGACATGTCTCAGATTTTGATGAAATTATTCCATAGGTGTGTCTTGGTACAAAACTAGTAAATATCGTGTCGGAAGTTCCACACGTGCACTTGGTTGCCATGGAGACGGATCCATTGAATTCGGCCATTTTGGCCCATTTTGACTAAAGTAAAACATGAAAATTGAAGAAATGTAAATGAATATTAATCGGTATCTAATACACTCTATCAAAAATCATTGGATCATTTGATAACATGACCTTTTAGGGTACACAGAGCATATACTCGTTTATTCTAGAAAAATTCTTCTTGTAAGAAAAAGGTTGTGCAAAATGACATGGTTTCTAAAAATTTGAAAAATGGGGAAATTGGAATTTTTTGAGATCTTTGAGGCTAGATAAGAAAAATTGTCCGCGGAAATTTCCCAAATCTTATGTGTGTAATTATACTTGGGAATAAGTAGTGTCATTTCATGAAAAAACATAAGTTGGCTTTTGCTCCTATTTTTAGTAAAATGTATCTATAAATAGATATATTTTAGAAAAATGTGAAAAATTAAATTTTGCCAAAGTTTTAATTGTCATTACTGCATAATTAGAGCGTATATTGTAAAATTTGAAATTTTAATGACAAGAGCTGGACACCACTAGCTGGTTTGGACAATGGTTGAGGGGAATTTCAATTTCTATTTTTAGTATCAGGTGGCTAAATATAGATATGTCTCTGAATATTAGGAAAAATGGCATTTTTGTACGAATTGAAATTGTTAATGCAGTACATATTTTTTTTTAAATTGAAAAATATTTTAGGTCCAGCATTGGTTTCTGATCAGAACTATGGTGTTCAGGATCTTTTGGGCTTCAACAGGGTAAACACAAACCAGCGACTAGAGGAGACAACTGCACAACCAACTTCACATCATCAACAGCATCAACAACAGCTTCAGCATCAACAACAAATAATGAATGAACAAATGGCTCCACATGAAAATAAAGCTTATATGTCATACCAGCAGCCACACTCAAATCAGGAGTTGAGAACCCCTATAGGTATGATTTTGTCAGTATCAATAATATAGAAAATTTCTAGTGTGGCCAGGTTATCCTTTCAACATCTTAAAAAGGATCTTTAATTATTTTTTTGAGTCTTTAACATTTTGTTTGAAGAGCCCAACAACAAGTTAACATGTATGCAAAGGAAAGAAAGTAGCCTTTCTAAATTAAGCATATTATGAAAGATGTTCCAAAAATGATACCTTACAGTTTTCACCAATTTTATTTATCTTAAATCTAAATATTCTCCCCTGTCGTTCAAATACTGTACTAACCATAAGCCTGTAAATTTCTTTGTCAATCAATTAGTGTTGGCAAATCGGACGATTTTAAGTAACCAGTTACTCGCTTCATCTTCCGATTGAGTACCCGGTTACTTGGATTATTTTTGGTAAAAGTATCGATATCTATTATTTATCTTATTCTATACTTATCGGTAGTAGTAATGCACAAATATACTATATAGGGACAATATATATACAATAGACACATACGATATCGTCAAAGATTTTTGATTTAAAAAAAGAAAATAAATAGGGAATTCGACACATAAAGACAAATAAATACGTTACCGCCAATCGCCACTTTTTGCTTTCTTTTTCAGCCCCCGAAATATTGTCGCAATCAAGTAGAATAATTATTTACATACTCCATTATTAATAATCAATATGTGGAGTGTCCAGTAAATCGCTTGTTTTCGAATAATTTAAACTTAGGTGATTTAACAGATTTTGAATCAGCTGTTCTTTTGTTACAACTCCAAACTTATTAGGTCTGCGGCGGCATCTCGTTAAATTATCAAATGAGGTAAGGCCAATTTTTTTTTATTAGTTGTTTTACGGATCCACCGACCCCATTTTTTTAAGTTTTGGAAAAAAAATTCCATTCAATCCTTTTTATATAATCGCTGATCGAACTTGACTTTAATCATAATAAAAAAAAATCCGGTAATGACCGTACATTGTTTGAATTTTAATTAGTTGTGATCAGACTCATGTAAACGCTTCCATTATAGACCCTAAAACTCTGCAAGCGTTTTATAGACAGAGATGAAATAAGTATGACGGCCATGTGAAACATTTTAGGTTTTTCAAAACAGAATATAAATGTTTTAAGGACATTAGTACATGTATGACGGTTTTTATGAGCTGATTAGACTGGTGATGATTCTATATGTGACGTTATCTGATCAGCGAATGGAGTGTGGTGGTTAAGGAAATTAATATTTTCAAAACCCAGAATTTTTCTGATCTGTAAGAACGTGGTGTTACAGGTATGAACTATCAAATGATGTGAAAGAAATGTTTTTTAAATAAATTTTACAGTTTATCTAATGGTTAGGTTCATATAATATTTTCATTTTTAAAAGCACATGTTTGGTATTTTAAAATTCTGTAAACACAGAGAAATGAAAAATGTCATTGTACAGGTATGAATCTATCAAATGATGTGAAAGAAATGTTTTTTAAAGTTTTAAATTTTAGAATTGGAAAAGGAACTGACTCATCAGGATGTTCTAAGACAAAAAATGTTTGTATGAGAGTCATAGGAATGTGAAACCCTATGGGGATGACTTATCATTCTAGTAAGTTTATTTGTGTCCATTGATTGTGCACTTAATTTTAGTTTTATACGGTTTAAGAAAAGGTATTATTTGAATTTGATTAAACTTTTATTATTTTACAGGGGGTTGTGTAAAATTTGCTAAAGTGTGTTTTTCTGTGGCAATGTGGACGTAGCAGGGAATGGACATCCGTATCCAGTCATAGACATACACAGAAAAGTTTACCATTGTTCACATAATATGTCTCTCTGCTCAGAGAATCTTTCTCTTTTAGTGAGGAATGCCAAGAAAGACATTTCTGTGCAATGTTCTGAGGTTGATTTACCCAACTGCTTTGATATGCTGCATATTAAAAGTTTTGAACATTGAAAGCTGCTTCTTCTTTTTTTTTGTAGCCACCCAACGGATATTTTCCAAAAAAAAAAATCCGTAAAACAAACGCAATTAATAAAAAAAATGGCCTAATTAAAACTCAGGCCTTCAAAACATGTATGCCCCAGGCAATCAAAGCTATCAATTATATAAATTGTGAAAACTAATCAAAACGATTCACTACAACCATGCACTAGATCAAATCTAACGGTACCTAAAACTAGGGAAATGTGTAAGTTAGTATACATTTATAAATTATAAAACATTCATTTCCTTTCCCTTTACTATGTAGAATTAATTTCATCCGAGTAACCGAATAGCAGTTTTAATAACCGATACTCGCAACGTTCGACGGTTAACCGGTTAACCAGGTACTCGTTGCCAACACTACAATCAATGCATCACACTGATGAAATATATGAGATAAGGATGTGAGTTCTTTGTCATAATCCGGAAAAGCGGGAAAATCTGTTAAATTTTTCAGTGAGTAAAAACGCTTTTTGAAGCATATTTACATGTACGGGGTTCACTGATCTACAAATTCATTGACTTCCAAAAAAATAAGGTGGTGATGTGGAAGTTCCAAGTATTTTTATTTGGATAATGATATTGAAATCGGAACAGAAAATGAAATGTGATTTTGGAAGAATGGTCACTTTACTTGTTTTAATGTTGTGCTGACTTACTTTAGGACAAGCAATATTTTATCCTCAAAATAACGGTGCTCAGGCTCCTTGGGGTCTACATCCATTCATCCAGCAGAAAAGACATACAACACCACAACCAGCTCTACAGCAACAACAGCCACATCAGCAACATCAGCATCAGAATTTTATGAAGGGACAAAATGAGCGATTGACACCAAATACACCACATCAAAATGATGCTCCTATGCCTTTTCAACGGCCAAATTTTGATCAGTTTATGACAACGTCTTCAAGTATGATTTTAACAGCGTTATTCAATTGAAGGGGTTTTATTTAAAAGTTTATTGATACAGGCACTTTTCCTTATGTTTTTGAATATCTTTCTAAAGATTTTAGACTTAGAACGTAATAGCAATAGAAGATGTCTTTGATCACAATGAGGTTGATACCGTTGGATTACTTTTAAAATTTTGATTTTTTCATTTAAATTGAAAAAAAAACCCAAATTACTGTCAATTTTAAATTAATTGCTTCTATTGGTTACCTTTTTGCAAAGTACTGTAATAAATGTATTGGAAATAAAATCTTCCCCACTTGAAGTTGGAAAATTAATACTCAGAACACTATTTACTCTAAAAAAATTTCCACATTTAAAGTATCTAGGACTCTCTTTACAATTTTTTAAACTGCCCATAATTATTTAATTTTTGACTACTGCACGCAATATTAACTTCTTGATGAACTAGTATTATTTATATATTTTGTGTCTTTTAATAAGATCAAAGAAGGGGAATTTTAGACCACAAAAAACAACGGCATTCACCACTCTTGAATCAATTAGATGGCTCTTCGGAAAACATGTCTACCTCTGCTGTCATTCCTCTGGAAAACATGTCTACCTCTCTTGTTGCTCACATGGGAAACATGGCCACCTCTCCTGCTTTTGCTATGGGAAACATGCCTACCTTCCCTGTTGTTTCTATAGGAAACATGCCCGTCTTTCCTGCTGATCCTTTGGAAAACATGCCTGACTCTCCTGTACATCCTATGGGAAATATGTCTGTCTCTCCTACTACCCATTCGGGGAACATGTCCACGTCTCCTTTTGGTCCTATTGGAAGCCAGTCCACCTCTTCTACTGACTCTATAGGAAATGATCATAGTATTCCACATGACATTAATCAAAGGTATTTAGTATATTCAGACATCAAATCAGAAATGATAAATTCAAAAAGTAAAAACCTTTAAGTGGAGGGATATCAGGAGATAATATTATCATTATCACATGCGATAGTTGTATGTATACATTTACAGTTATTAAACTCAAAAGTTTAATTTTCTCATCGCATAAATATTTTGAAGCTTGGAAAGAATTTTTTTAATCTCAACCAAATTTCTTGCCAAGAAGTGGTGCAACCTTCATTCATTAACAAGTTACATTTCACAAAAAAAATTAAACCATTGGAATAGTTGCAACCTAAGTTTCATCCAGAAGACTGTGTACTCTTTCAAGCTATTTTAGTAATCAGAGCAGCTTTTTTTCCTCTTGCCTTTAGTTCATCTAAATCAATCAAGTGAGTTTTTATGTTCAAAATGTTTCCCTTTGTTTGTTATATATTGTCAGTGTCTCTGTTGTTTTAAATTTTAGCTTCTCCTACAGGACTATGTTTTTCTTCTCAAGAACTACAAGGTTGTGACTGACTATGATAACATGTAAACATTCCCAACTGTTGAAGATCGAAAGATTTAGATTGGTACTTTACATGTTTTTTAAAATAGATTTTTTATAGGGATGTGAAGGAATGTTTTGAAAGGACTACCGGATCGTGGTCTTCCATATTATACAATTATTGCTGTTTTTGAGGTCAATACAATGATTTAGCCATCTGAGGAGTACAATATTCACCGAGCCCAAAGGGCGAGGTGAATATTGTACTTCGAGGATGGCTTAATCATTGTATTAACAGAAAAAACAGCAATAATCGTTTTAATATATGATTTACTGATAAAATGATAAAGCATATTTGTTTGCATTTAATAATTAAGTCCTAGCCAAATACAAAAGAGAAGCAGAATGAAAATGTAAATAAGCCTAACCAGTTGTATCAATTTGATTTTTTTTAATCAATTTTAGTTGCCATGAAAAAAACATAATGTCAGTCTTTTTTAAATTTCTAGATTTTTAAAGGAAGGAGTATTATCAGGGAAAACTGATTGCCAAAAAGTAAAAATTGTTCTTCAGTAAAAGTGTTGGAGGGGTATCCTTGCATCCCCTCTTACCACCCTCACCCGAAAATATATATATTCGCTTATGTTTTGTTCACATGAAAAAAGTCATAGTTGTTTAAATAGCTTTCCAAAACAATTTGTATCAGTTTGGAATTCCCCGATCTATTTTTAGATCAATGCAGAGGAAATAAATCCTTGTATTCACCTGGAACGTCACATGCAGGTCAATACAACGTAGTATTTTTCTAACATAAATGGATCCGCAGCACAGTTAAGGTTACAAAAAAGAGGCGGAGCCTAATTTGTACGGGAAAACTTGACTATGACATCATACACAATAAACGTCATACAACATTTCTTTAAAATACCACAAAATGAGTTTATCTGCTAATTTAACCAGTAAGAAATCATCAAACTACATAAAACTTACTACAGTGTGTTTTTTTTTTGTCGTCAATTAAATCCTACATAACAAGTTATAAACAAGTCACTGATCGCAATACGCTTGTCAATATGACGTCATATCTTACAACGTGACGTAATTTGTATGCAGTGAGAGACAGATCAAGTAATATTTTCTCAACAAAATATGTATTCTCTAATTAAATAAAATATTATTTACTGATATTCTATGGGCCAATAACTTGAATTTAATGTCTTCTTCACTATTTTATTAATATATTTTCTGTACATTACGTACTTAATTGACACTCCCGTATATTTGTATGCAAGTACATCGGAGGGTAATGTGGGGGGTCTTAATAAATCGATCTAGTGCTAGGGCATACACTCTATGGATCAAAGTTAGCTTTTACATTTCAACTATAGAACTATTAATGTATCTGAAAAGTGCTGCGATCCTGATGAAACCTTAATTTAAACAATTTAATTATATCAATATTTCATGCCGCTGACCAGCAAAAAATATAGCATTCGGTCATACAAGTATAATTTTAACAATGAAATTGCAGAATTTAGACAGGATCGCAGCACTTTTTAGAAACTACAATGCGTGTTGAAAATATTTATATACTAAACTTGGCAATTTAACTTGGTTATGCCCTTGCACTAGTGATATTTATATGTAACATCAATACTTCAAGCCAATGTGCTAAAATCGCGTGACTGCCGCTTCACGTGACTAGTCTAATATAAAATATGATCGTCCTCGATATGTAGTTTTTAATCATAATTACAATTATCCGATATGAATAATGTACTAAAAATAATCGCTATCCCGATTACGAATACATTTTTAAATACAAAATTTAGTCGATATTTCCTTTGCGCACCTTAACTGTTTTGCGTCTCAGCCAATCAGAGAGATGGAAATTATTCAATCATATAATAATGATAATTATCAAACATCAAGCAAGCATCATCATGTAGGGAGATCAAAGTCTGTTCAAATTACAGATCATTGACTAAGCTGGACCATGAAATTGAGTGAAATATCTCATTTTGAATGTTAATTAAGGAAAGAAATCTTCCAGAAATCCCTTTACGAAAAAACCACCAGATTCAAATTAACACAAGTTTGCATTGTGGCTTACCAAATGTAAATAAATATAGAATCTCCCATGGTTTGTAGTTGGATATGATATTATCCAACGAGTTGTGTGATTTTTTATCCCGAACCTTGGCGAGGGGATAAAAACAGTCATTGAGTTGGATTACAAAATATGGGGTTATTCTTTTTGTCCCAAGTTTAATACTTCACAACCGATGTTTTACACTGTTATTATATGGGATTCCGCTATATTGTACTTCATCCCGCTAATGCAAATATAACTGTGGTGTGATAACTGTACTTAGTGTGGGATATGAAAACGATATCACATGGGCTATATCTGTGGAATAAAGGGGTGAACATGGGATAAATTATTTTATTCAAAGTTTCAGGATGCTAAAGAACAGGTATTTCAAACTTATAAATTCCTGCATATTGTTTGCATATATTTGTTATTTGGGATATCTGACGCAAATATTTGCATATTTGTATGACTAATACAAACATTTATTTCTATGAAAGGATTTGTTTAATGATTTTTTTTTAAATAACGAATTTTCTTGTTGTCTAGTGACACGTTCGAATATCTGTTTAGTATCTCGTCATAATTTAAAACAGTTTGATTATCATTATCATTATTTTGTTATTTTAAAACTGTTTTCAAAAATTCTAAGAAGATACACAAACCATAAATTTTGAGATTAGCAATGGTTGATTACTTATCGGAGTATATAGTAAATTACAACCTCAGGTATCTTGCACAAATTCCATGTATTGAACTTTAATCTTTTACATGTTTTATGAAGAAACTTGTTTAAGTAGCAATACTAAATTCGCAAATTCTTGGAAGAAAAACATATTGTTGAGGAACATGTGGTTTGACCTGAAGTAAATTTAACTTGAAACCTTCAGAAAAAAAGATAATCATGTTTTTCTTTATCACAGACCTTGTAGCCGATTGCAACCTTTAGATGCGATATACGACAGTTGCTCGCCATTTCCGATTATGGCCGAGAAGAGAAGTAATAACGAGACCATCTGGGAGAACGGTAACGTAAGTAGTAATATGTGGCGGTAAGACGAGTTCATTTGACGGTGACCAGCTAGATGGTAGAGTAGATCCAGGGGATCAAGGTTCCTGATACCCTGATATTGTATAGTGACACTTCCTTTCACTACTGGACGAAAAAAGTGCTGAGAATCCCAAATTTTACTGATAATGGTTGATAATTTCTGATACGGTGCTGTTCTTGCTAATAATTTCTTATATTTACTGTTATTATTACTGTTGTTGCTGATAATTTTAGTTGTTGCTGAGAATTACTGATAATTACTGTCGTCCTTACTGTTGAATCTGATAAATACTGATAAATACTGTTGATGTGCTGTCGTTGCTGAGATTTACTGATAATCACTGTGGCCACTTTTTTAAAGCTAGGAGAGGGATAACATACCCTGAAAAATTATTATTTGTTTTAAGAAAAGTATCCAGTTGTTATAAATCATTACCGTATACTTACAAAATAAATTATTCTAGATGAGAAATAAAGTCATGTTTTAATTGTCTTCGTATTTTTTGACTATATCGATTTTATTATAATCATTTTTTTATCATAATGTTCAAATTAGATCATAAAAAGCTTTAAGGGGACGTCTTTGTTATTGGTTGTAATTAATATTTATCGAGGAGAACTGAACATGTACACGTATGAGCTCTATTCGTTATGTACAACACCCCCCCCCCCCTCCCTCTCGATTTACATACAATTCTCAATTTAACAAGACAGTATGAACTAATTATCAAAAAATATTCATGAAGCATACAGTATTCACTTATTTTGAAGAATGTGACAAGTTCAAAACAACTAATTAAATTATCTTTAATTTTATAAATTTGTATACTTTTAGCTAGTACGCTCCAGATCTCTAGCTGATTATGCACACCATGCGAATTTTATACAGACTGTATCATTGTGTGGTATCAACGCTAATTAGAGTTTCTTCGCTTTTTAAATTAACTATTTGCTAAGCCATCAGGGCACTATAAATCTAATGCAATGGGATTTTCAGATGATAAAATATGCGTCTTTTTGTTAATAGTAGTACACATAGAATGGGCGCTTGTACGCTGCCGGTAGCAGCGAGATCAATTTAAACAACTGCTAAACATGTTATACATGGCCAGTCAGTAAAAAAAATAAAATAAAACTGAAAGTTTCTTTTTCCATAAATGCCATCTTGTTTGTTGTTTTGGAATACACATGTCAACCACGTATAAGAGTTCCACTCTCATTTTGAGAATCGGGTCAATTATTAGTACATTCTTTACGCCGTATAACAAATATGAAAATAATTTTGTACAAAGACTATTATTTGTTTTTCATTCCATGTTCTCCTTGTCCAGGACCTTTGTATAAACGAAAGAATTTCAGGCTGGGTGCTTATTGACATGGTTTTACTTGAACGACATGTAGCATAGAAAGGGGGAGGAATGCTGTAAACGACGAAAGGCTGATTTCTTTAATTTTATATATCATACATGCTATAATAGCTTATTCCATATTTTTCTATACATGTACATAGATTTAATTTAGAGAATCAATGAACGATAAAACATTCAGAACATTATTTTTATGAATGAGTGCGATAAACAACGTCATATATGTTACTTACATTCAAAATTCATAAAAGATTTTTGCTGCGGATTCAGTGATGTCGAGTTTCTTTGTTTCTGAATTAGGTAAAGATCATTCTAATATTATTACAAACGCTGCTTTCACTTTATCATCTTATCCTTTTAAAATTTTATTTACATTTTGCAGATTTTTTTTAATTATAAGACGAAGAAGTGAAATGTTCCGTATCAGTATCTCGTGTCAGTTTCATGGGCCACAAGCCATCATCATTAACAGAAAACACCCCTCCCCAGAGTATTCTTTTTAGATTTATCTCAAGAAATGTGCTTAAATGAAATGAATTACTGAACTTAGATAGGCAGATTATGCAGATTAAAATAATGATTAAATCTGTACAATGTTTATGAATTAAAACTTCATTTCTTTTTTTGTTTCCTTTTTAATACTGCACTGTCCTTTTTTGCTATTTTTTTAAATATCAGTTTTATTCGTCAAAATTAAAATTACAGGATATTTTTTTAACAAACTGGTAAAGATTGTTTCTGCTCAAAGTAGCAGATACAGTGTAGGAAGTGTGTTTATTGTGTACACCGGTAGCCGCAGACGGAGAACAATAGGTGATAAGTGCCCATTGTTACGCTGAACACTACAATTTGCATGGAATATACAAGTTGTACCCGGTCCCTGTTCTACCCCGGGGCCGACGACATATACACAGCACCTGTCAGTCAAATCACAGGTCGATTATCGATTTTTGATCAATGAGAACTGATCAATTTGATCATCCAAGATTGAAATCGATCAATTTGATAATTAACTTTATTAACATAATAGATTACACTAGGTCTCCTATCTTATTTAATTCTAATTTCATAAAATTAAATTTAAAAAAATGAGATTTTAAAAATAATGAATGAAAATGTTTTGTGTCATTAAATTTAATAGATCATCGGCATCAAAATTTTATATTATAACACTTGTGTACCTCTGAACTTATATTGGTACTAAGGATTCTGACCACAAATTTTTTTATCAGCCCCCATCTGCTGGTTGCACGTGTGGTGTATGTACCTTGTACATGTGCATGCAGAAGAGTTATATTCTGGGACTGTATACAAAAATAAATAAATAATTCATTCAAAATAAATGAAGAGAAAGCTGTGCCTTATGATTGAACAGTATAATTAATCACCACTGTTTTATATCACTTAATTAATTTTTTTAATAAAACAATAAACTTTCTCATTTTCGAGAAAATTTTAGAAAAACAAAATTAACAATAAGAATTCAGAAAACCAAACACGTAAAATATAATAAAAATTCTTTGAGAAAAAAAAAACAAAAAAAAAAAGCTCTATGAAACTTAAGGCGACCTTTTAAAAGCGAATGCTGTCCTCTCTTGACCAGTTGACCGAGTGAAAACGGTGTGAATCAATGTTTTCAAACCCGTAAAAAACATGTTTTATCCCGATTTTTCCCCATTCACTAAGAACTATTTCTTATTAATGAAAAATAAATATCACTGACCTCCCTACCCTTTCTTTGAGTCGGAAGAGGGCGTTAATGAAGTTATCTTTTTTAAAGAAAGTCTTTAGATGTTCTTTTTATTTACAGAAAATGTTATAAATTACATCCTCAATAAAAAAAAATATACAATAAGTATTCCAATCATCTAGCTTACAGATAAATAACTTTTTTCTCATAGACTTGTAGAAAACATTTGCCTTTATACATGTATATGCTGAAGCTTTCATTTAATTGTTTAAGCATTTTCACAACAATATCATAGTAATGAATTGAAATCAGTGTTTAATTTTTATCATTAGCAGAACATTAAAAAAGAAATAGGTTAATGCCATGATTATATAAGTAAAAAAAAGTAATAATTGAAGGTTTTTAAAGCCCTTCATTCTATTTTAGCTTTAAAAAAGTGGCCACAGTAAATATCAGTAAATCTCAGCAACGACAGCACATCAACAGTATTTATTAGTATTTATCAGACACAGCAGTAAAGATGACAGTAATTATCAGTATTTCTCAGCAACAACTAAAATTATCAGAAACAACAGTAATAATAACAGTAAATATCAGTAATCATCAGCAAGAACAGCACCGTATCAGTAATTATCAAACATTATCAGTAAAATTTGGGATTCTCAGCACTTTTTTCGTCCAGTAGTGTTTCGTAGTGAAACTTACACCAGAGTCTTACATAACTCACCCGAAAGATTGATACTATCTCCCCGGGGGAATGTTTTACCTAGAGTCACGTCTCCTTAAAGAGGTCCCATTCTAGAGTGAGACCCTCCTCTGTGAGTTCCCTATTCTTTTTTTTATTCTTATCCTTCGGAAGTATTACTCTACAGCAGACTTATAAGGGGAAGTAGGTAAAGTATCGCTCTAAAACACCGGCTTTATATGTTGCATTTAACTGCCTCACTCTAGAATAAGATTTTCAGGGGCCAGTATTGTATTGAACATGTTACAGATTTGATATGAAAGTCCAGTCTCTTCTCATTCAGAGGTCAAGACCAAGGTTAAAGCTTTTGAAAATAAGATCAAACTTTAAGGAAAATGCATGATGTCAGAAATCATTGCTTTCGAGGAACGTCTGGTCAAAGATACTACACAGTTTAACATGAAAGCCTAATCTCTTCTCATTCAAAAGAAAGTTATGGTCAATTTAAAGGAATGATCAATTTGTTTTTTTAGTTAATCACCCTTACACGTCAAGGTCAAAAATCATAGTGCATTTGGTAAGGACATCTCACAGGTAATATACGAGGGTTGTCCCCCCCAAAAATAGAGAAACCAGTTTATTTTCTCTTTACTAAATTGAATTTCTTTTCGTGTCAATGCAAAAAGAAACATTTTGTTGTCAATTTTCAAATTCCATGATGATTTCATAATTAATAAGAAAACTAAAGTATTAAAAAATAAAGAAAGCATATAAGTGTACATCGGCGCACGAAAGCAAGCGTAAATTACGTCTCTTATAACGTAGTGATCTGTTTGTCTGCTTCACAATCGTCTGTTAATATCAATTTTTTTTAAAGTGAAAAACCACGGTTGACTAAGAGACTATTTTTTTCACTACTCTTCGTTTTTTTTTTTTTTTTTTTTTACTTTTTTAATAGATTCAAATTTCTGTCGTAAAGTAGTCGAAGGATCACCTTATATTTTAGGCAGCAGAAAATACACATGTTTGACGTCGTTCGTTGCAAAAAAAGTTCCTCGATGACTTTGTTTAACAAACAGTACTCTACTTTTTACATGCTATAACCATTTTTAGGTCACCTGAGTCACTCAGGTGACCTATTGCTGTTCGATTTCGTCCGTCGATGTGCTCAACGTGTCGTGTGTTTACATTTGAACAATTTCAGCTTCTTCCCTGAAACCACTATACCAATTTCAACCA